TTGAAGCATCCTCCCCTATCACATGCTCATGCTGTGATGTACTGTTCTGCTACAGGCCCAAAACAACCAGAGACTAAAACCTCTGAAGCTGTAAGCCAAAATAAGCCCTTTCTTCATCAAAAGTGATTTATCTGTTATTTTTTTCCATAACAGAAAGCCACAAAACAGTGCCTTTTGGCTAAGTTCTTACCCCATAGAAGATGTAGACAAGCCTCTGCAGGTTTTTTTATAAAGACGCTAATCCTATTAATGAAACCCCACCCTCTATCAAATCACCTCCTCCAACACTCCCCTTCTTAAAACCGTCACTTTGGGATTAGAGTTTCACCACATTAGAAGTTGAGGGTTTTGGGGACACATTTAGACCATAACAGATGGCAAGTGTTCAAAAGCCCATAGTTTGCATTTTCTGGTATTTAATGCAATGAAGCTATTGCATTCGGGGATTTCAGACTCTGAAGGGGCTCTGTAGAGTATCTCTCCTCTTGAGTATGGAACCAGTATACTATAATCATAGATGAGAAATTGCTTCATTTTTTAAAATACTTTTTACCATTTTGCTTCTTTAATAAGGAATATGTCCTTGGATCTTAGAAGTTCTTTTATGCTTGTCCATCTTGCTGCCTCTTGCCAAGATAAGAAAAAATATCTGCTTAGAAAATCTTGTAGAGAAATAACATTTATAATGTAACCTTAAAATTTAGATGAACTCTTAGAAAAACAAGGCTAATTATTTCCTGTACTCCCATTCTATCCTGGCTAGGGGAAGTGGCTAGCTACAAGCAAGGTGCTCCTTTAAAGTAATTAATAATTCTCAAAGAAACATTGGCATACTGCTTTATTATAGCACATCTCCATTTTTTTAAACGAAGGCAGTCAAGGTAACAGATGGAGAAAGTTTTAGGCCTGACAGTTATAAATAGTCCTGCAATTTATTTCATGATAGATTTGCAGTTCTCTTTCTTTGCCATTCTGAAAGTTGGACCTCAATCAAAATGCATTTTTCTTGACCAAAGAGTAAAAAAATGTTGCAATGGATTAAAACTTAAAATAATGAAATAGAGTGACAATGTGTGGTCCTTCTGGGAGTTTTACATTATTCGAAACTGTTGTTGCCCTAACACCTGATCTTTAGAGGAACTTCTTTTCCAGGGATCAGATGGAGTAGGGAAACCTTCTGAATAAATCAACTGTCCCACGTATAATTATCCTTGTCACTAGCGATCTAAATAATCTTGCCGAATGACCACTATGTTGCCAAGCACTAAATGGAGCAAAAGGACAATATTCTTGTCTTTAAAAGGGCAGCATGAGGAGAAAGCATTAAAGACCCAGAAGCTAAATAGCAATACAACACAGTGGGACATAAAATATCACAGGCATAATGACAATAATGAATTATAACTATCATTTTGTTGTTCCATATTGGCTGTAACACTGATCTAACAAAGCATCAAAAATATTTTGAATATTCCATATGTTGCATACAGAACAAATATATTCTCTTTTTCCTTAAAGAAAGTTAGATTTAAATGATAGAAATATGAGGAAAACCATCAAACTATCAAGTATTTTCAAGAGTGCTAATATTCCCACTGCTGAGGTCGATATGGAGAAACAAGGACCTTTAAGTACTATCGATATTTTTGTGTAACTAGCACAATCATTTGGGAAGGCAATATGGCTATAGCCATCAAATTGTCACATGTGCATTCTTTTGTTCTGGAAATTCTACTTCCAATAATGATGGACTATGTTATTTGGATTCTTTCTGTCTCCCTCTCCCTTCCATCTCCCCCTCCATCTTTCCCTATCTCTTTTTCCCTGTCTCTAAAAAACTAGAAAAGATAGGCAAAGTATTTTTAAATAAATGTTTGTTCTGATTAGCATTCAATCAACAAATAACCAAGCATATTAGGAGGAAAGACTAAGACAGTGAAAATTATAGGGCCAAGATCCAGAAGAAGGAAATAAAGACCATCAGACTTTGGGGCCCCTTTATTCTTAAAAGCACCACCTTTTTGGTAGAAATTGCAGAGTTTGAATGGTTGGTCAGTGTATGGAAGAAAGTACAGATATTCGTTCATGAGCTATCCAAGAAGTAAAAATCACCCAGGCTTCAGAGTGGGGCCCAGTGAACTAGGACCTTGATGTGCCCCAGCCTTCACAAAGCCTGATGCTTAGCTCTGAATCAGTTTTCACTTATTGATTTAAGTAAGTTTTTCTCCCCTGAAGTTCCAAAAATATTTAATCCCTAATCTCCTAAAATGTTTATTATTTATTAGGAATTATCTCTTCTTTTTTATATTTAGGATAGTACTAGACACATACCCTTCTTGGGAGAATGAAAAAATAGTAATGCAAATGATATTCTGCAGGCTTAATTCTCTAGCAAAATCTTAGTTGAGAACCCTGAACTTGAGTTCCCTGGAATTGTAAATACCCCCAAGATACCAATCAGAAGCTAGGGGAAGATATCTCCTTAGGCCTTCAAATCACCTCTATCATTTTTATATATACTGATTAGCATACCAAGCATATAAGGAGCTAAGGTAAAGTGATAGAAAAATCAAGACAAACAGTAGAAACAAACCCATTAAAGCATAAAATAGAATTGGAACAGATTTTTAAAATGTTTTTATCAGACAAAATTAAGCAGATACCTGGAAACTATTAAAAAATTAATGGAAAGCCTAGAGCTCAAAAGTTATAATAACAAATGAAGAACTCTGTGGATGAATTTAACAACCTCTTGAGTATAGCGAGAGATAGATTTTAGAAATTAGATAAATCAAAAAATATGTGAAAATACTAAAGCACATGAAGACAAAATACAGAAAGAGCATAAGGATCTGATGGAATGCAGCAAAAGTGTGATGTGCATGTGTGTGTGTGTGGAGAGGAAGAGGGAGACAGAAAGACAGACAAAGAGCAGAAAGACAGAGAAACAGAGAGGGGAAACATTTCAAGAGATAATGCCAGAAACTTTCTAAAACTGACATCAGGCACAGATTTGCCTACCAATAACTGCTATCCCAAAAAGGATAAATACGACCATGTCTAAGAACATCGTGTTAAAACTTTTGAAAGCCAAAAACATAAAGGAGTGTGAAAACAAGACCCATCATTTCAAGTGAGCAATAAGACTATTAGTTGACTCCACAGCAGAAATAGTCGAATAATATAGTATCTTCAAATTACTTGAAGAAAATATAGGAAAATTATTCGTGGATAAATGTTCAGGAATAGTGGTAGTGAAAAGTTGAAAGCCACTTAAATGTCTAGTAGATTTAAAAACAGCTATTTGTCTACCTTGTAACCACTAAGAAAGATAGATACTTAGGTAATAATATATTAAAATATCTCAAATATATTTTAAGTGAATAAGTATATAAAATCAAGTGTAGTATGTAGTCTCATTTATGTTAACATTACTTTGATATAATTAAGCATAGAAGATAGGAGGCAAAATGTTAACAGAAGTTATATTTGTGTAGACTTATGAGCATTTTCACGTACTGTGTAATTTTTAAATAATGAATATGTGTTATATAATGAAGATAGTTCCATTTAAAAAAAAAAAAAAGCAAACCATAAAACCAGTTGGTTATGTGCTCTGGGTTTACCCTGAGTCCATTGTGCATATATTGTAGCAGATGCTGTTAAGTGCATTCCATTATCTCCACACAGAACAAATGCTGCAAAGTAAGGGTTCAGGTAAGAATCCCTAGACCCGGATCACTAATACTCTAGATCTTCCTAAACCTAGAGAAGTCAGTGTCAACAGTACCCTATGGTGATGGCTCTCATTTCATGAGAAGCATTAAGCAGGGATCACCCTTCTCCGATCTAGAGAAATCACCTTCCTCTATAAGAAACTTCAGAATAATGTTATAAATTGGGTTAATGTTTTAGTATCTGATTTTTAATTTACCCGCAATAATGGTATGCATATATTGGATTCAGTGTGACATTTTGATATATGTATAATGTAATGATCTAACCAAATTATATATTAAGCACTTCCAACATTTATAATTTCTTTGTGTTGAGAATAATTCAAAATCCTCTCTGCTAGCTATTTTAAAATTTGGGAAATTATTGCCTACTCTGATTTTCCTACTGTGCAATGAAACACTACAACTTAATCCTAACTATATTTTTGTACCTATTAACCAACCTTCCTCGTTCATCCCTTGCCCCAACCCTTCTCAGATTCTGATAGTCAGTTTGTCTTAGTTACTTTTCTCATTGCTGAGACAAAACACCCAACATCCAAAGTCAAAAGAGGAAAGCTTTATTGTGCTCCACAGTTTTTGAGGCTTCAGTTGATAGTTGTCTGGCTCCAAGATAGGCTGGTGGAAAGGCATCACAGAGGAAAACCAGTTCATGGCAGGTAGAAGGCAGCGAAACAGCAGAGTATCAAATGCTAATCAGCAAGTGGCAACAGCGGCCCTCTTTCTGTCCCTTTTACATTTTATCCAGGCTGTCCACACTTAGGCCAGGTAGCGCTCACACCCACTGTGTGCGCAGGTGGTACCCTTAATCCTAGCATCAAACCATGAATAAATCCTGGCATCACACACCCTAGATCCAGCCAACTCCAAAAAGCCCTGTCTTTGACCTCATAAGGCTTTTGGAAGAAATCTAGACACAAGCAATAACACTATTGTACTGTCTACTTCTATGCAATCAACTTTTTAAGCTTCCACACATGGGTTAGAACATCAAGTATTTGTCTTTCTATGCCTGAAGGTTAAGTTTTTTAATTGTCTTTTTTCTGTTAAAGTGTCAGTCTAAATTGCAATATAGGTTGTTCCCTGAAAGTAAGAATCTAGCCGTCTTCCTGTTCCTAAAGATAAGTCTTCAATATTAGTTAAATTGCGGTTCCCTCTGTGCAGTTCAGGCAGCTGTATAAGAATCTTGACTAACAAGCTGTGGGTAATTTGAAGTAATAAAGTGCACAGTTTGGGGTAATAAAGTCTGAATTATTTTTAAAGGCCGAGAGATCCGTCTCCCGCTCCGAATCAAAGGGGAAGGAATGGGACCTAAGATTCACTTCAACTTCGAATTGTTGGATATTGGGAAAGTTTTCATCGGATCCATACATTGTTACGAGGTGAGTGCCAGAATTGTTCATCGAGGCTTCCAGCATTATTTGGTTTTTAAAATTCATTTTATTTTACATGTTTTAACTCGATAGAAAAATTGTCAAATCACAACTATTTGCCATTATTCAATCTGATTCAGACCCCAAAATGCTGACTCCCGTGTCACTGAGAGGAACAATTTTCCCATTCTCACTGGCTCCCTTTAACTTGAATAGAAGTTAAAAAGCATCAAAGCCATCATTTAATTGATTCTATCCTCTTCATTTTGTAGGTCTCAAAGGGGGAAACCATAAATACATCTCCCCATCTGTTCAGCACTTTGTTCTCTCAAAACATAAATCTTACAGACCAGAGACAACTCTACATTTTCTAGAATATCCTAATGAGGATAGATGTTTTCATACTTCCAAATTTTCTCCAAATACCCTCATCTCCAATCCATGTTTCAAAACCCAGCCATCACGGTTTTTGGAGGAGACCTCCCTGCTTTGTCCTGCCAATTAAATGGGAAATAGAAATTTACAAGCTGTTTTTCAGGCTCAAAGTCACCCTAATGTCAGCTCATCAGTATCTATCTGGGACACTGTTTTGCTCTGTATCAATTGCATATTATTGAACTAGTAGCTTTAGCTACTAATTGGACTTTTGCTTGAGGATTTTCTCTAATTGTGCATGCTAGTACTTCTATAGACATAATAAAAGCAATTATTTAATAAATGACAAATATCTATCAGGTTCTGTGTTCATTGTGTGTGCATGTCTGTGTCTGTGCCTGTGTGTGTTTGTGTATGTGTGTAATTTCTAATCCATACAAAACTATGAAAGGTAGGCTTTATTATACCTATTTTAAATGCAAAACATAAGGCTGTAGATGTTAGTACTATCCACAACATTGTCCTTTATGTGTGCTAAGACACTGCTATTGCTTTGACATAAATTCACTCATTAATTTAGTCCTCACAAAATCCGTATCAGGTAGCTACAATTACTGTTCCCATTTTATAGCTGAGTAAGATGAGGCTTACATAAGCTCTTCTAGTTATAGTAGTGTTATACAAATCCAGAGCAAAAGCTCAGCACTACTCTCCTCCAGCAGACTCCTTCCTTCTACTCAGCCACTCCATCCAGGTGTCCTAAAGACTGCAGCCTCATCTGCAATGATGCTGGCAGAAGAGGAAAGAACATTCAGTAATGTGCATGGGATTTTTTTTATTTTGAAGATAATAAAACCAAAAGAAATGAAATAGAATAGAGACAATCAAAACAAAACAACAAACGTGATACAAGACTTCAAAACAAAATAAAAGGAAACCAACAGTGGCTATCATGATGACTCTTGCTATCTTCAAAATAACTTCCTGTACCATCAGGCACAATAAAATCAAACAAAACAGGGAAGAATAAAACCAATCAAACTTAAAAAATGAAAGCAACATAGGACTTCAAAACAAGACAGGAATATAAATGTGGCTATCATAATTCATCTTGTATCTTCAAAGTAGCTGTTTATACCATCAAATACAATAAAATCTAGCTGTTTATACTACCATCAAATACAATAAAATCAGACAAAACAAAATAGAATAGTCAATCAAAACAAAATAATGAACATGATGCAGGCTTCAAAAAAAGATAAAAAGAAATCAATAATGGCTAGCATAATGCAGGCTTCAAGACAAGATAAAAAGAAATCAATAATGGCTAGCATAGTGCTTCTTATTATTCAAAATAACTGTGCATACCATCAGACATAATAAAATTTTAAAAAAAGATCAGAATAAAACCAATCAAAGCAAAACAATGAAAGCAATACAGGACTTCAAAGCAAAACAATAGGAATCCAACAGTGGCTACCATACTGCATCTTGGTATCTTCAAAGTAGCTGCTTATATTGTCAGATATAATAAAATCAAACAAAACAAAATAGAGTAAAATCAATCAAAAGAAAACAAAGCAATAACGGGCTTCAAAACAAGATAATTGGAAATCAATAATGGCTACTGTAATATATTTTGTTATTTTTGAAATAGCTGTCCATGCCATCAACTATCATAAAATCAAAAACAAGAGAACAGAATGAAACCAAGATAAACAGAACAATGAAAACAATACAGGGTTTCAAAACAGGACATAGATTAATAATGGCCACTGCCTTCCCCCTCTAGACATCTCCTCCCTTTTCACCTCACAACATCTATTATGCACTTTGGATTCCACTAACTCTTTTAGTTTTTTTTTTAGTAGGGAGACAACAGGATGTTCAGCCATGTTACTCTGAACCATTTCACCAATGAGCATGATCTCAAGCTGTATCCATTTACCTACAAGAGCCTAGAATCTTGATTATTATATGTCTGAGTGTAGATTTATTTTGGTTGTGGCTAGCTGGAGTTCTATACGCCTCACTTATCTCTATATAACATTTTTTACTATGTTTGAGAAGCTTTCTGCTATTACTTCTGTAAATAGGATTTTAATGTGATTTGTGTTGAGCCCTGCTTTTTTCCTGACACCTATTATTCTTGTTATTTTGCTTTGCATTGTCTTGAAGTTGTTGAATTGTTATTTCCTAGTTCCTTATTATTTTTAAGAGATCTTTTCTTTGACAATTGCAAACTACACATCTGTCTTCAAGGTCTAAAAGTCCATCTTCAGTTTCTTTCAAGTGGTTTTGCCAACTTTTAGTGGCGTTTTTAATTTCCTGGATATCTCTTTGAATCTGTTTCATGCATTCTAAATCTCTCTTATACTGTTCATTCATGGTTTCCCTCGTTTTCCTATGCTCGTCTACTTGTTATCTATATCTTCTTTAGAGGTGCTTAGCAATTCTTTTATTATGTTTTTCATTTCACCTTTTACCTGAGATACTATTTCTGTTCTAATTTCTTTTATAGCCTTGTGAAGTTGTCTCTTTACTTCAGTTGCCATCACTTCATAAACTTCAGGTGTTTAACTCCTGATCGCTTCCATGTTCTCATCTCCTGGGTTTCATCTGCTTGGGTTGGGGTCCAGGGACTGCTTTTTGCTGCTGCTGCTTTTTCTTCTTCTTCTTCTTCTTCTTCTTCTTCTTCTTCTTCTTCTTCTTCTTCTTCTTCTTCTTCTTCTTCTTCTTCTTCTTCTTCTTCTTCCTTCTCCTCCTCTTCTTCCTCCTCTTCCTCTTCTTCTTCTCTTTCTCCTTCTCCTTCTCCTCCTCCTCCTCTTCCTTCTTTTCCTTCTCCTCCTCTTCCTCCTCCTCTTCCTCCTCCTCTTCCTCCTCCTCTTCCTCCTCCTCCTCCTCCTTCTTCTTCTTGACATTTTCTTGAGTTCTTCCAAACAAGCAGGCAGTGGGCTCCCACATACTTCCCACGTTTGCTAAAATTTCTCCAGAGCATGACTGTTTGGTTCTCCTGGGTTCCCCTGACCAGTTCTGGCTATGAGTATCCGATGGTGGCCACTAGGTGTGCTAATGTAGAGCCAGCTGCCGTTTTCCCCAGCCCATGCTGGCTACCTGGGACAGAAGCATCTGGAGAGCTGCTGGAGTGTCCATAGGGGCAGGGCCAGCTGCTGCCTCCCCACTGAACTGGCTACCTTCAGGCAGTGTCTTCCAATGGCTGCTGAAGTGTTCAAGGGGGCAGGGCTGCTTCTCTACAGAGCTGGTTACCTGTGAGCAGTGTCTTTAGATGGCTGCTGGAGTGCTCAAAGGGGCCCGTGCATGAGACTTTCATAGGAGGTGGGCGCTGCACTTCCATTCACACTGCATTATCTGTGTATGGCTGCAAAGGATGCTGGGAGTGTACTCTAGCATCCTCAGCACAGCAGAGGGGAACGTAGGTTCAGGTTGGAGCAAACCTGACTCTCAGAGCAAGCCTGATAACAGAGGCCTTAAGTGTCTTGGCCAGTCACACAGCTTACAAATGTTGTGATCCCTGGGTCACTGATAGCCTCTGTCCTGTGCTGGCAGTGGAAGGCCCTTTGAAGGATCTTTGGATTCTTCAGGCTCTTGGTGGTCCATCTTCCATCCTGGGAAAATCTGGCCAACTCAGCTCTCAGCATGGAGACAATGTCCTTCATTCCCACATTCACTGAGGTTAACTGTGGCCTCATGGAGTGATGTAAAATGTAAACAAATGTTAATGCCCTGAGGAGATACAGTATACACAGCAACACAACCTGAATGAAGAAACCAGTCTCATGACTCACGAAATGAAAAGCAGCACAGTACCTACTGCATCATTCTACGTTTCACCTGAGAAAAGAATGCGATACTTCTTATTAATTGATACCCTTTCTGTATTGTATCCAGAGTGAATTTTCATTACATCTCAGATTGTACTTTGCAGATGCCGTATCAGAAAAGGACCTTTAGTTCTGATACAAAATGGATAGAGTTTTTCTGAGTGTAATAATAATTTCTCACAAAGTTAACAGACGTGAACGTTAAGTCACTTCCCATCCTCCCAGGTTTTAACAGCAAAGTAGAGTCAGCTGAGGTATTCAGTGAGGTGATGCATCAGACTGGACAGTTTGGAGAGCCGAGCGGTGGCAGGGAAGGGCACAGTAAGATGCCTGTTCTGGGAATATTTTGCACTCTCTGCGTATTTAGTGCTGATGCCTCATTGCATCTCTCTTTCAATTTATTACGTTACCTACTTGAGACAAATTTGAATAACTAGCTATTCCCCTTAGTCATTGCTGAGCTTAGCAGATACCGAAAGAATAAACTATAACCCCAAGAGAACATGCATTTCCCAGTATAATTAACAAGGAAAACAAATGGGAGGTGACGTTCTATTATCAATGTCCCCACCCTTCAGGAGTTAGACCACAAGGGTAAGAATATTAGCAGCAATCAGAAAGCCTCGGAATCATGTCCCAAATGATTTTTGGATTCTGTACTCATAAATAGGTACTTCTTCAGCAGGAGTAGGAGAATGGCATACATGTTATTGAAAATGGAGGAACTAACACTGTACAAAAAATTGGGGTAAGATATTCCTGTTAAGCACCACCCTTCCAAAAAAAAAAGAGCAAACACATACAGAGGCACCTTGATGAATGAGGGGCCTTCAGGTTACCACTAATGCCTTTACATTGCATGAGTTACCACTAGCATTTGTCATTTGCTTCTTAAGCACAGGTAAATTATGCTTGGCATTAAGGATAGAAGTAAAAGTCATTATCGCTTATCACTGTTATTTGCCTGGTACTACTATAAAATTGCCTAAACAAGTAAATTTAATCTTGAAGCAGTATGACAAGTTACTGGTACAAATGGGGAAACAGGCACAGAGAAATCACGGGTTGTCTAAGGTCACGTAGCTCGTCAGTCAACGGCACAGCTGGTGTTCAAGCCCAGGCAGTTTTGCTCCAGAGTCGCCGGCCATAATCACTTTTCTATGTGGCCTCTTTAAAAGAGATAAAGGAAGGAAAAAAAAGAGAAATGAAGGGAAAGCACAATCCAGAGTAGCAGGGAAATGCAAAGTGAGGGAAATGGGAGCTAAGCATTTAAAAAGTGCGTCAAACAGCAAGCAGCCTCTATTTAGGTGTCTGCTCTGGTGCACTGGCCATCTTGCCTTGGCTGACGTGAGTCTTCCTCTGCAGAGGCCTCTTAGTTTCTCTCCTCCCTGTGCTCTCTTTGCGAGGCAGCCTGAGCCCCTGAACTGAATCTCCTCAGCCTTGCTCAGACCCCATTCCCTCAGCCACCGTGCCCTCTTCCCTGCTGACAACAAGCTTCACTTTGTGGGTGCTTCCTGTAGGCAGGGCCTTGCGTGTGCCTCATCTCGTTAAATATGATGCCCTCAGTGGCCTCTAAAATACCTCCCTACTTCTTTGTCACTCCCACCCTCAAAACAAGGAATTTAAAGTAGGCGACCACTATTTCCTCCGCGCCCACCCACTCCCTAAACATTTGTCCTCTGCATCCTGCAATCATACTGCAGTGCAGTCACCCTCTTCTTCAGGGTCAGGAATGACGTCTAAGTGTTTTTTAAAAAACACAAACACCTCTATTACCTTTTCTCAGAGCTGACCTCTGTCCACACTGGCCCTCCTCTGGGAATCCTCTCCCCTCAACTTCTAGCTTCTGGGCATGCAGTTCACATTCCTGCTAACCCCTGCCTGTCTTCAGTGCTGTAGCTACAGGCTGAGGGAGCCCTTATAAAACAAAAGGCAATGCTTTTCGCCCTTCTGGATGTGAGGACAGCACTGGCAAGGAATGGACATGGTATCTTTGGAAGCCAGGACCAAACAATGCACCTGATGCAGAGTCAGTATATGAATGGGGAAGACAGAGACAGGAGCAGCAGATGAAGACTACACGTGGGAGTTCTGAGTGTCAGGCAGGAGCTGCGTATACATACGCGCGTACCCAGACAAATGCGTGCATGCACAAACAGACACACGCACGCACACACACACACCTCATATGAACAATACTGTGGTGCCAGAAAATTAGCAGACTAACTTCATTTTAAAGAGGACACTAAAAACATAGGCTTACTTTTGGGCTAGGAAGTCCTATCTTCAGACATTCAAGATATGAGAGTTTTCATTTCCTCCAAGAAGTTTCGTTTGGGTTCCAAGTATGGTGTTAAATAATGTAGCCACTTACTTACATGCAAATTGATCACAGATCCCTTGACCTTTCCCTCTTTGCCTTTTACTGATACAGGCTGTACTGTCCAACAAAGGCAGCATCGATGCCCTCTTCAATGTGATCCCTCCAACGTCGGCTTTGGGAGCCTGCTTTGTTTTCAGTCCCAAAGAAGGCATCATCGAACCAAGCGGAGTCCAAGCTGTCCAGATCTCATTCAGTTCTGGCATCCTGGGGCACTTTGAAGAAGAGTTCCTGATCAATGTTAACGGGGCACCTGAGCCTGTGAAACTGACCATTAGGTAAGGCACAGTTAGGACAAACGTGAAGCGGAAGTTTTTATCCACAGCTCTCTTGATCATGACTTCGATGTCTGTAACAATCTCTATTGATATGAATACCTCAGGATAATAGAGCCTGTTAAATTGCCACAGCATTTCCCTCATGGACACGTGTTACTTATTGTACTATAGATACAGATACTATTTGGGGCTAGTTCCTCTAGGTTTTAAACTTATAATCCAATGATGATGAACCTTTTACAGACTGACTGCCCAGACTGCAACCCAGAACTCACTTATTTACAGCAAAATGCCAAACACTGCAGTTTGGAAACAACTCATACGTTAACAATCTCTTATCGTAAAAAGAATAAGATCAAATAACATGCATACCTTAGGTGCACCACCACTTTTTTTTTTAGTCATTGCAAAATATAAATTTATTTTTAATGTTCTTTGAGATATGTGTTTGAATCTTTGTTCATCTGAAATTTTAACAAGAAATTTTTTTATTATTTAAAGATAAAAAACATGAAGAAAAAGGGTAGAAATAATACAGAATTACAGAAAAATAAACAGTAAGAAATCACTAGTTGATAAGTTACATATTGTTATCTTAAAAATAGATGTTCAGGTTACAAAATTAAAGCATACAAAGTGACATTCATATAGTAACACTGCCAACAGTTCTGCTCAATGATCCAACAAAAACTTAGTAATATGGTTATCAGTCCTACACACTTGTTTTTTTATCTTAAAGAGGGTAAGATTAAATGTATCAAAACAGAACAAAAACAGTTCATAAAGAAACAATTTAAAGAAATACAGATTTCAAAGCAAGTCCACTGGAGATCTTCACTGTCTATCTTATTGTCTCTAGTTTTCTTCCAAATAGTTGTCCCCATCTTCACACACATTGAATACATACTGCATATTATAGAACTAATCAAATCATTACAGGATGATGAAGGCTTTTTAGGTCTTCAAGATCTGACATTTGGGAAGTCAATAATGACTACCACAATGTCTCTCATTCTCTTCGTAGTGGCTATCCTTATCTTTACGTATGCTGAAACTGAATTTAAGAGACTAGACTAATATTACTCTGAACAGTGAATAATAGTATTGCTAGGTTTTATATCATAATGCTACAGAATTAGCATCGGGTTTCTTAGTGTCTCTTCTTCTTCAGAGTATCTGTACATTACATTGTGCATTATATAACTGTTCCTGTAAATAGTTTAAAAAATTCTTCCCATCTGTGAATTTCTACATGTATATCTATCCTCTCTATATTACAGGGAAAAACATCATAACAAGACAACAAAACAAATTCCTAGAAAAACATGCAATGAAAAAGACACATAAGACCACAATATTAGGTGATCTACCATAGTTACTATGCTTTCTCTTGTTATCTTCAACTGACTTGTCCACATCATCAGGCTCAATATAGTTAACCATAGTATTACATAGCTATTTTTATAAAAACACAACTTTGAAAACATTGTAGGACTTGAAAGCGGTTAATAATCAAAACCGATATGGAGATCTTTTATATCTTGTCATCTTCAGAGTAGTTGCCTCTACTTTTAGACTTGATACTATCAAGCATACCAAATTCAAATAAAATCAGCCAAGGCAAAACTGCTGTCTAACAAACCAGATTCAAATAAGATCAGTCATAGTAAGACAATGTAAGCAATACAGGGTTTCAATTTTAGATAATAGGAAATTAAGAATAGTTACCATTGTATAACCTGCTATTTTTGGTTTAGATGTCTGTGCCCTCAAATCTGATATGATTGCACAGACCAGAACAAAATAAAATCAAACCAGACAGACTACTGTGACTTTTAAATCCTGATACACTATTAACAATGTCCTCTGCCTTCCTTTTTTAGGCTATTTTTCACCTTTCCCCTTCTCAGGATGCTTTGTATGTTTTGAGTCTCACTAGCCCCTTTAGTTTTTAGATTAGGGAGCCAGCCCGTTTTCTACCTGAGTGTGACTGGACTTTCTACCCCTGAGCTTGATCTTGAGCTGTACTCCTTTACTCACTAAAGTCATAGGGTTTTCCTTCCTTCCAGCTGTGTAGTTCTACACTGTGCAAAAGTGTCATAGCTTTCCAGTCTATCTGTGGCTGCTGGATGAGTTGTCCCTATTTCTCTCTGGTTTCCTGTCGCATAGAGCTTTGCTTTCTCATCTTTGACTTTCAGTTTATTAACCCTCCTTCGGGTTGAATGTATTTCCCATTCAGAGCATCTCGATGGAGCCTGTCTCCTAATCTACTCTGCCTGGTTTTTTTTTAGTATATCAAGGATATCTATATTAAAGAATATAGCTTACCGTCTCTGCCTCATGTCTGCTACTCCACTTTACTGCTATAATTTGTCCACCTTACTCCCTCATTCCACTGTCTGCACCATTCATTGAGGCCTCTCTGCCACTGTTGCTGGAATCCTGGTATCCCTTCCTCTCTCTCTCTCTGGAGTGTCCTTCAGCACTCTCTGCAGGGTTGGGTTGGTGGCCATGAACTCCCACAGTTCCTCCTTGTCTTGGAAATATCTTGTTTCTCCATTAATTTTGAGAGAGATTTTTTCAGGGTACATCAGTCTTGGTTGCAAATTATTTTCTTTCAGGGCTTGGAGTATTTCCCCCCAGGTTCTTCTCGATTTGAGAGTTTGTGTTGATAAGTCTGTTGTTATTTTGATAATTTTTCCATTTTAGGTAATCTGCTTCTTTTCCCTGGCTGCTTTTAGTATTCTGTTCTTTTGGTGAATTTCTGGAATCTTGATTATTATATGTCTGGGTGTAGATCTGTTTTGGTTGTAGGTGGCTGGAGTTCTGTGTGCCTCATTTATCTGAATATCTTTCTTTTTCCTATGCTTGGAAAGTTTTCCTTTAATATATATGTGAATATCTTTGTATTCATTTATGGTTACTCCTGCTTCCTCATTCACGTGCTTTATTCTTTTTTTTTTTTTTTTTTTTTTGTCTTTTTCGTTTTTACCGGTACCAGGACACGTGCTTTATTCTTAAGTTATGTATCGTTTTGTCATCTTCTAGCCTTTGAATTGTTTCTTTCTGGTTCCTCATTATTTTTAAGAGGTCTTTTCTTTGGCGATCATATATCATAAATCTCTCTTCAAGGTTCAAAAGGCTAACGTTAGTTTCTGTCAAAGCATTTTGCCAGTTTTCAATGGAGTTTTTCATTTCCTAGTAATTTCTTTGGATCTGTTTCATGTATTCTAGGTTATGTTAAAATTCTTCATCAAAGGTTTCTCTTTCTTTTCTGATTTTCTGTGTTCTTCCATCTGTGTGCTCTTGGGCAAGACTTATCATTTCTTTAATTAATCCTTTTATGTCTTGCCTCACTTGGATCAGAAGTACAGTTTTAAATTCATCTATGAGGGATGAAGGTATTTCTTTATGTCCGCTGATGCTGTGTCTAGTATTGGATGGTTACTGCACTGGTTCTCTCTTCTGTATTTACTTCTCTTGGGCTTATTTTCCCAGGTTCAGCAGCTGGAGACTATTTTTTATTTCTATCTCTTGTCATGTTGCTGGTTTCTTTCAGACTGGTGTGTCCTGGGGGTCTCTGGCCCTCTCCCTATTGCTTAGGGTCTTTCTGAAGCCTGCTGACTGGGGTTTTGCTGCCCTCCCAATTTGCTGTTATCTGAGGTACATGCAGGAATGCAGGGATGGTGCAGGCTAGCCTTGAGCCTCTGTGCCAGTCATTCCACAAGTTAGGCTGTACCTTGTGGACATCACAGAGTCGCAACAATTTTGTACCTGCTTATTGGATCCCAACCAGAGGCGTATTTCAGCCCTAGAAGACCCTGCCAGTTCTCTCTGCACCAGGGGCACCTGACTGATGTCCCGTGGCACCGGACTCTGCCCAACTCCAAGATGTCCTCCACCAGTCCTCTCTGTGTCACTGACACCGCCGCGGCACTGGGCTGTGCCCAATTCCAAGATGTCCTCCAGCCAGCAACAGCAGCCGTGGGACCCAATCACTAGCACTCACCGGGAATCAAAGCAGTTCTTCCTCTTGGCTCCACTGCACACTGCGCCGCATGTCTTCACTGCATTCCCAGCACAGCACGGATTGGTCAAAAAACTGCACGGTGTCCGGCTTCAGAGCCCAGGAGCTTCTCAGAGTCTCCTCCGGCGCAGCCAGATGGCTCTGGCTGCTTCATGGGGCCCCAGGTCCCAATTTCCAGCAGTTGCGGAGAACCAATATAGCTCTTCCCCTTGGATCCACTGCTCACTGCACCGCGTCCTCCCATTAAGGGCCCGGGATCGCCAACTCCCGTTATCGGCAGCTGCAGTCTCAACGCATCCTTGGATCCTCCAGGTGTGCCTAGTACAGTGCAGAACGGGTCTCAATGAGCACGTTGGGCTTCAGCTCTCCACCCGCTCTTTTCCTTCCTCTTCCTAGTTTTATTTTTCCCTTTGGCTACCACCTTGATTAATAAGAATCATTACCCATTCATCTGGCCCTCCCCATGTTGTCATATTCTAGCATCTGATCTGATTTCTCCGCAGAGACTCTGAATCCAGCCCCCTAGCAAGCTGCCATTTTTTTCTCCCTCCACCACCACTGTTATAAACTAAAAATTTAAATGTGCATTTCTAACTACTGTCCATTTAGGATGTTTCAAGAAAATAAGTTATTATAGTAGTACCTGAATAAAATCATCTTCTTGTCTAAGCTTTTGCTGTTATCACAAGTTTTCTAAGCTTTTATCTTTTATTATTGTTTTGGGAAAATTCTTTAAATTATCTTAATTACCTAATTTTTACAAAGAGTTCACTTACAGTCGACCAAGACTGGATACTTACAGCTTTGATGTCAGAAGTCTTTTGATGGCTGTTCCACTTGCTTCTGATAGGTGAAGATCATTTTGATTTTGAAATAAGTTCCTGTAGCCAAAACATTAGGTAGATATACAATTTTGATTACTTTTATAAAGATGCATCTTCAGAACAGAAAAATTGTATCTTCAGTTCACATTGCCTCAGCACTGTTTGGACTCTACAGCAGCCAACTGGTAATCACTATGGCAATTCTTTTGTTCTGTTTATTCTAGCAGGGTCCCCCTACATCCACAAGTTGACATATCTCTTGGGGCTTTGGGTAACAAAGAAAAGAGATAGACACAGATGATGCAAAAGATCCTAGGAAATGTATTGATCATATATCTACTAGAAATGCAGAATCTCAAGCACGGCTTAAAAGTGATTGTTACTTATTCTCAAGCTTATCTAAATAACCCCTGTTATGGACTGATTGTGTCTCTTCAAAATTTGAATGTTGTAATCTTAACACCCAGGATCTCAGAATATGACTGTTCTAGAAGATAGAACCTTTAAATGGGCAATACACTGAAATTAACAATTATGTAGAATTTAAACCAGTATGATTGGTGTCCTTTCCAGAAGAGTTTAGGACTCAAACACACATATATAGATAGTTCAGGTAAAGATGTAAGAAGAAGACCACCTACAAGCTAAGGAAAGGGCCCTCAGAAAATACGTCTCTTCCAATGTATCTATGTTCATTATTTTAAAAATTGCTTTCCAAGTATCTCAGTAACACTGATTCTTCTAAAAGGTGCCCATCCACACTTGTCCAAGCCCATCTTTCAGGCATGTGTACAGTGCTACAAGGATGGGAGTACACCTTGACAGCGTGTGAACATCAGCTCACTTCCCGCCTCCATAACAATTCACATACCATGACAAGCATTCATCTGGTCCCATGAGGTTCTCCATAAGCTCTAGAAGATCAACTCTTACAAAGTTCAAATCAAGTTTCTTCGCTTCTTGGCATCAGCAAGTGTAATTCAGAACCATAAAGACCCTACACAATACAATGTCTAGCACATAAACAAGACTATACAAAAATGAGGAAGATGAAACTGTACAGTTATGCTCATATGTACATGTAAGGTAATTAATGAATACATTTTATGAATATGGATACAAATAGCCCTTGATAAAATACTAGCAAACAAAATCCAGCAATATATAAAAGAAAATATATTATACCCAAGCAGAATTTATCCCACAAATGCAAGATTGGTTCAACATACAAAAATTAATCGGTGTAATACACTATTAATATCATATATTAACCAAAGAAAAATCCCACTTGATTAGTTCAATGAACACTAAAAAAGACATTTGATAATATTCAACATTCTTTCATGATTTAAAAAGAAACAAATGCAGCAAACTAAGAAGACAAGAGAGTTTCCTCAGCATAAATCAAAGACCAACATGTGAGAGCTAAAACTATTAAGCAGTTAAAAAAATACAGGCATAAAATGTGCATGACCTTAGATTAGGCAGTGATTCTCAAATGTAATATTTAAGCACAAGCAACCAAAGAAAAATAAATAAGTTAGACTTTAATCAAAATGTAAAATGCTTCAAAGGACAGTATAAAGAAAGTAAAAAGATTAACTACAGAATAGGAGAGAGTATTTGAACCTATATATCTAATAAGGGACTTCTATCTAATATATATGAATAGTTACGACTCAATAATAAGAGTAATAATAAGACTCAATAATAAAAGAGAGAAATAACTCAATTTAAGCATTAGACAAAGCTTCTGATGGGACATGTCTCCAATAGGGATAGACAAGTAACCAATGACATGAAAAATGTTGACATCATCACTCATCAAGGATATGAAAATTGAAACAACAATGAGGCACCACCTTATACCCTCTTGGATGGCTTTAATAAAATGGAATATAAGGGTTAGTGAGCATGTGAAAGAACCGTAACAGTCATGCACTGGTGATGAAAGTGCAAGGTATTGAAGCTGTTTGAGAAAACAGTCTGACAACACCCCAAACAAGTAAATAATGTTACCCTAAAATACAGCAATTTCCCTCCTAGGCATGTATTCAAGACAAGTGAAAACAGCCACACAAAATCCTGTGCATGTATGTTTACAGGAGCATTATTGATGGTGGCCAAAGATAAATAAAATATTGCATATTCAATCAGTGGAATTTTATCTGACCATAAAAATGAATGAAAAAGAATGAAGCATGGATACATACTACAACATCATACAATGAATGAACATTAAAAAATCTTGACAAGTGAGAGAAATCAGTCACAAGAAATCACACATTACATGTTTCCATTTATGTGAAGTGTTCAGAATAGGCAAATGAAACCATGTAAATCAGTAGACGAGTAGTTGTGTAGATCTGGTGTGAAGGATAGCACTCAGTAGCTAAAGGACATAAAATTTCTTTTTTGAGATAGTGAAAATGTTCTAAAGTTGTAGTGATGGTTGCACATATCTGTGGCAAAAACATTGATTTGTACACTAAATGAGTGATTTTTGTCATGTGTGAATGGTCTCAATGAAGCTGTCATTTAAAATTTTTTCCAGGAGCCTATAAAATTGAATAACAGTTCTGTCATTTCTTGGATGAATTTTTTAAGGTCTCCATTCTCTTCTCTTAAAGATCCCAGAGTAGCAGTGCGTATCACTAGCATCGTGTGACTAGGGTAGGATGATCAGGAGTTAGCATTCTCTGAGATAAACTTAGACTAATGAGTACTCCAGTTGCTCTGGGGAGGTTAAGGCTCTGTTTCCATCTTCTTGTTATTAACATTTCCCCAAATTCCTATGACATTGTTCTTTTTTTAATGTTCATTTCTGATCTCTTTCAGCCTGAAGGAAAATCAGATAGTAGAAAGATGTATATTGGGTTTTATCCCCAAAGTAATCACCAATTGCTCAGAGAAACTGATCTGAATTCTGTCTCCACTTCACTTCCTTTAAAACTCAATGTTTCCTGTCTCCAAAATAGTCCAATACTTCAGACTATGAAAAGTAACTTGAACACCCAATATATATAATGAAGACTGAAATACACATATAATTTATCATCTGTTCCACACCGTCTACTTACCTCACTTATTACTTTGTCAGAAAAACTTACTAGGGCCCAAGAAATGGTAATGAAATTAATATTCTGGATTCTTACTCTTTTATTAAAAGTCAGGTATTTTAACCTCAACACCACATAATTTTTGCTACTATGACTTGAAGCATCAGAACAAATATTATATTTTTGCTATTTCTGTTTGCTCCTACAATTACATGATATAAAATTTTAAGTGGTTAGATAAATCACATTGTAAAATTAAGATAACTTTTAGAATTTCTCATGAGTTTTTGTTCCCTCCTATTTTGCATATGTAATTGTATAAAGTTTTAACTATAGCATGGATATATTTTAAATTCAACTTGTCTCACTTTGTAGAATAATTTGATCAATCTCTTGCTTGGTCATTAAAATTATAATTATAAAATATCCCTGATCTATGGCAAAATCTTGGCAGCGGTTCTCCTAATATTCAGAGAATGTCCCTGTTCGAATTGTTATGACCACTTCTAAGTCCAGATGGTCAGTTTTCTGTTATAAGTGCCTTTTAACAAATGTGATTTTTCTCTGGTTCTTTCAATTTCTGCACTGATTAAATGACTCTTTTGTGCAATTTTGTTAACCCTTTCTTACTTTTCCTTTCTTTTACACTGGAGGGAGAGAAACTAAGGTAAAATAACTGGCCAAGATCACAGTAAGGTGGTAGTAAGAATAGAATTAAAACAGTTTTATAAAAGTATGGGACAAGGATTAGTGGCATCACTGAGTCTTTGGTGTTATTATGATTAGGATTATAATTTTTATTTCTTAATGGGTTAGTTACTTTTCTCTGGTTGCTGAGACAAACTACGTGACTCCCAAAATGAAAGAAGGAAAAATTTATTTAGCTAACAGTCTGTGGAGGTTTCAGTCCATGGCTCCAAGGCAGGACGGCACATGGCAGAGGGCAACAGTTCATGGTGGCTGGAAAACAGCAAAAGCAAGAAGAGCAGAAACGGAGGAGTGCACGAGAAGACTCTTTCTGTCCCTTATAGTGTATATAGGCTGCCCGCCCCCATGGAAAGTGTAGCATCCACACCCATAATCCCAGCATTGGACCATAAATAGTCACAAACTCTAAAAGCCTATGCCCATGACTGAATGAGACTGGGGGGGTGCATCTAGACACAAACATAACACTTGATGAGTTAATAACAACATGATGCAAAGTTCATCCAAATTAACCACATTTCTATGCCATCAATTTAGTGATTGTTCTCTTCTGCCTCTGCTGCATCCCTAGGAGAAATGAGATTATAAGTTAATCACAGCATTATTTGCTAATACCCATGGTTTGAGTCTTGAAAAACAGTTTTTTGAACTGTTGTGATAGATACCTCGTAGTTCCTATTTGGTGCCAAGTTAAGGTTTTTAGTACTTACTCTCTCCCCAGTTGTTGATCCTGACCTTGAATTCACTGGATTCTCCCACTCTGTATTCCTCCTTTCAGAGGCTGTGTCATTGGACCTACCTTCCATTTTAATGTTCCTGCTCTGCACTTTGGTGATGTTTCCTATGGTGAGTAATTTTCCATCTTAAATCTAGAAATTGAATAGATTCTCTTTTTTGTCTCTAATTGGGAGAAGGAAGATTTGCCAGTCATCTGTTACCACTTTTTAAAAAGGTAACAGTCAAGAGGGTCGAGAATCAATCCTTTCTTTCTGTGTGGCAGGGCATTTAGGTGTTGTTTCCTAGCTCATATGTGCAAGTGATAGCCATGTCTCAGGTACTAGGTACTGTCATTCTGTGACTGTCTCCCCTCTTCCAGCAGCAAGACATAGCACATCATGCTTCAGTCTGCTACCTAAACACACTACACTGTATTTAAATGCAGATTCCAATTTGCCGGCTGCATTGTACAGTGGTCAGTTTAAGGTAAATTGAGTGGGTTTGGTTCAGGTGTCCCATTACTCCAAGTTGAGGGCTCTGCTGTATTTTTTGTTGTTGTTGTTATGGTCTTCTCACTTAGTAGCTTCTGTGAGCCATTTATTCCTGGCCAAGCTGCTAATAAAAAGATAGTAACATTAGCAGAAGCAGTAGAAAACCTCCATTTATTGGTTTTCATGTGTTTTAGCCCCTGCTAAGTGGATTACATTGCAGTACCATATCGGAGATCTGGTCTAGATCCCCAATCCCCCAAACAAATGCACAGCAAAGGCTTAAAATATATGATACAAAAGGTATGATTTTAGAGCTCTAGGAGAATCAAAACCCTCTGCACGGTTTGAGATTCTGGTGGCTAAGACAGAAAAGGTCTCTGGGCAGCCTGTATTTATTCAAACAAGGAAGAGATTAGAGTGGAAAATGTAAGAAACCTGAGCAGGATCTTGGGAGGAGTTCAAGGACCCCTCCAAGCAACAGACAATGCTAATTAAGGAGAACTATCCTAGGAGAAAGTCCCCAGATGTCCTCAGCTGTGGCCCATCTTGCCCCCCAAGCCATCTCCTCATTCTCAGATGCCGTGCCTGGGCCATGCCACAGCCTGCATGTGTATTCAGCTTCAACAGATTCAACAGTACTGTATTTAAACCTTTTAGCAATCCTATGTGGAGGTTACACTTGAATCTTCAATTTAGAGAGGGAGCCACGAGCTCTAAGACAGTTAAATAGCTTTCTAAGGTCACACAGCAGGAGCAGAATTTGTATTTCACTTGACATCTGTCTAAATTCATGCCCAAGAACAGGGATGATGCTACTCCAAAAAAGACAAAAGTTTGTTCTTGCATAATGAAAAAAAAAAAAACCCTAAGTAAAACAGTGGTTCAGGATCTGCCAAGGTTTCGTAGAACAGAACCTTATTCTTTAGTGTTTGTTGGGGAGAATTGAAATCTAACTTATATTTGATTAATTTGTTTCAATTTAAAAGTAATTTGCCTTTCTTTTTGCAAGGTAATAGTGCAAAAATGGTTGCAGAATTCCAGCTTCAATTCCTATTTCATAATACTTTCTATTTTGTTTTATTGACTCACATTTGTCTTGCTTCATTTTAAGTAGGCCCTGTATACTTTGGAGAAAAATAGTTCTTTAGAAAATACTTACTCATAATGTCTTTGCCAGTTACTATAACATTTGGGAGTTAGGATTGTTTTATTTATTCAGAACACACTAATTTATACAATGACTCTCCCTGTACACAATATATGGCATAAAGTAGATACTATTAAAAAAAACCTTATATAAATGGAGTAGAATTCCTATTCTAAATAAATGCAAGCTTGGTTATCCAGTGGCTGATTAAGACAGGCAGACTCTCTCCAGGATGAACATGATTGGCGCACAACATGAAGTGTATTTGTACACCCAAAACGTCTTCAGTTATCCTCCAAGTAGTGGACACTGAGTCCAAGGGGCTGTCTGGACAACCGATGTGTACTAGCAGCCTGCTTTTCCCAACATTGTGCTGCAAAGCCCAGCGCCGGAACATTCAGACCATCTGCCCTGTGTCACACTGCCCTGTGGGGTGGGGAAGGGAGCAGAGCTCAAGGAAGCATTTGAAGTCAGTTACTCCAGGAAATCTCATGCTTACTCATCGTCTGTATTCTGATAAATAGCTCAGCTCTGAAGTGTTCATGTAAGTGCTGTATGACAATGGTAAACCAATTATTGGGCCCAAAGAATATCTGAAACTCTCTTATATTGAATTCTTAAATACATCAAGATCCCTAATATAGCGCATCTCAGTGAAATGTGGTGAAGAGGAAGCATATGCTGAGTCCTCAAAATGCTGCATTTGTTTTTAAGTATTTATAGTATCCAATGAGTATCAATGACCATAAATATATCAGCCAGTACAGGGCCTTCAAAGCACAGGTAATAATGTTGAAAAGGGCTGCTTCTAACATAAATAGAATTCATGTTAGCATGTGCTGAGTTGAGGCAGGTCACTAGTGATTTCCAGGTACAATTTTAACAGTGGTGGGAGCAGAAGTCAGACTGTCATAGATAAAGATACTCAAAGCAATCTGTGTCTGGCAGGGTACAAGCATTCTCTTAATATACCTATGAGACAGATTTTGTTGATACGAAATTACCATCACCAGCCAAAAGGCTGCCATGGTGGTTTTTAAATTTAAAAATAAATACAGTTATTCAAGATATTTAATATGTTCCCTTTGTATGAGCCCTAGTTGCAGTATAACTTAGAGATTCTAGATGCAGCAGTGAAATCTCCTCCCATCGCCTACCCCGCCATCCCACACAGATTGGAAGCCAGCATGAGACTAGAGACTTACGTGTAAAGTAGATGAACCAAAGGATCTGTGTGGTGTGCTGTAGCTGAGACTGGAGCGTTGTATAGGTATGAAGGAATTAAAACAACTCAAATCATTGGATTGTGAGACTCTTCCAACCTCCACTTGTCACACTGAGCACACAAAACTTTAGCAGTGAGGCATAAAACTTACCTATTAACAATTTACTAGTACTGAGAAATCTAGAATCTATCTAAAATATATAAAAAATTCAATAGGAGAAATGAAAAAATAGATTCATTTAAAAGTTCTAATGTTAACCTAATGAAGTAATTTTAGGAGAAGACAATGAAAATAGCTAAAAATAAATCAATATTTGGAAAGATGGTGGCTGAAAATTTTCATCTAAAGCAAAATATTTGTCATTACAGTACACAGTCAGATAAAGTAATTCCAAACATAGAAATGTCATAGTGAAACATAAGAACACTGAAGCTAAGGAGAAGGCCTTGAAAGCTACTAGAGAGAAAAATTATATACAAAAGAATAGTTTTGATAGCAGTCATCTATGGTAGCAATGGTAGCAAAAGATACTAAAATGCACTTTTAAAATTAATTGTGAGAAAATAATTGTTGGCCTAGAATTCTATGCTAAGAATTGAGCTTCTATGAGCATCTTTTTACTCAAAGGTCCATCTCAATTTGAACTTCAGGGTCTGTTATTACAAAGCTCTAAAGACATTTATTGATGTACTTTTCAAAGTAGTCTTTCTTCAGGCTGAAAGAGGGGAGAGATTCTGAGGGTGAGCTTTTAGAGAAGGCTTTTTGAACTTAAAGATGAGTTAATTTTTGACAATATTTAATCATGTCTGCATGAAACAAAATTGACTCAGATTGATGAAAAATTGTAACCACATGGATCTTTTAGTTAATACTTTATAAAGCACATAGACTAAATTCCAGAGGGAGCTAAGCTGATCTGATAGACATCAGGACTAAACGCAAAACTCTTTACGAAAGAACTCCAACAGCCTCAGAGATCTTGGCTAATTTAAAATCCATAATACTACTTTTGTGCCCTGCATTACCCAGAGATCATGAATTATGAAGTTCTTGATCAAAAGGTTAACATATTCTGAGATTCTTTATAACTCTTCTAGCGCGGGGTGATATCCCCAGGTAGGAAGTTTATGGTCTATAGCTTCCCGGTCAGAGTTGTGGCAGTGATCTTTCTGTACAGGGAAGTTCAAGCTCACCTAATTGTCAAGCAGATAATTACAAGCATATATTCTGAACTATGGGATTTGGGCATCATCTATGTGCATAGTTTTCCTAGCTATGACAGGAGGATGTGAGGTAGGAACCAGCCACTGGCTAGCTACAAACGAGAAGGCTTCCTGTTGATTCTTCTTCGGAAACCATCTTGTCTCTTCTTTGCTGGGATCTGTGGTATAATGTTTTGTCAAATATCTTAGATTTGGGGGCATAGTTGTAATACCTGAGACCATGGGAGTGAACCAAAGATCCCCATGGCAGGCAATGTTTGTTTTTGAAATATGAATCTGAATTTTATCTCCACAATGGATTGTACGTACAGTGTGTGTTTGCTCATCACCCATATTCTGAATTATTTCCATTATTAACTACAAAAGAGCCTTCTGATTTTGCATAATGATCTGCCCACACAGCTCCCTTTACTTTATGGAGACTTTATTTTGCTAGAAAAATTAAGAATCCATTACCTGAACTATCCAATGGATCACCCAACAGTGTCTCCATTGTAATTTAATTTTTGGTCTTACATGTTACTTAATCAGCTTAACACTGTGGTTATATAGGGGTTGATCCTGAGGAGAGTGGTCATATTCCAAATGATGTGCCATCTTTTTAAAGAATTATAAATATTTTTGCTTGTAGCTTAATGATCTTCAGGCACTAATTTCTTCAAGAATTCTTAGGGGCTTTTTAGACAAGGTAAAAATATGCATATTGAATGAGCATTGACTCTTCTGAGAATGTTGTTCTTTCATTCATTATGTAAGTACTGGGAGAAGTATGAGTTACCTCTGTGAATCCTTGAACATTCTGCCAAGTCATGTTGTTAATTATTCCAAGAAAAGGCAAGTAAATATTGACCTTTCATCTAATAGATACTAAGTGAAGGGTGCTAAGTAGAGGTCTGTAACATAAAACGCATTCACAATAGAACAGTACAACCAGGAGTCACATTCACATTAATTGCCACTCAATCTTTTACTAATATCCCCTTCCCAAAGGCTTCTTGACAAGCAATATGAAATATAGGGATAGTAATATAAGGAATTGTTCTAGCTAAATTATAAATGGTTTTATTCTAGTGAAAAACTTGTGTCTTCAAGGAAGTAGTCTTAGCAATGGTTTTGGACATCCACTTTTTGTAATATGCCCTATTTTGGTAGAAAATTTAACCTATAAGTGATCAGGTAAAATAACGTAAGGCATCTACGATTTCAAGAGCCATTGTCATCCAAGTTCAGGAAAATGAAATAAGGCAATTACATGATTAAAAAACTGACTTTTTAGCAGTTCCTCTGGAATATCAAGAATAACTCTTCAAGAGAAGATTCTTCAAAAGACCAGCTATATATTATCACAGCAGGATTCAAGGAAGAAGAGAGGATTGGCATCTCGTAGAAACAAGCACTTGTGTTATCTTATGGTTATAGATAATTTTTATTCTGGAAGTGGCTACAGATACAGTAACCACTTAGGGGTTCCAAAATCAGACCCCAGTGTATTTCTTTCCTGGCAAGGAAGATTCGCATTTCTAAAGAAAAGAGCACAAGTCTCTCCAGGCCAAACACAAGAAGGCTGGTTATAACATGACAAAGCAGCTTTGTCTGAGAGATAGAGAAAGTTGGTATTGATATCTGGCTGGCTCTGAAGCAGTTCACTGAGCTCAAGATTATGTCATCAACACAGAGCTCATGAGTCTCACATCCAGAACTAATTTTATCATATCTTGGCATTCTCTGGGTTACACTGCAGCAAACCATACTGGCTTCTCCTTTCTCACATTGGCAAATAAAAAGAGCAAGCATGAGATGGGTAGCATGACACACACATATAATCCCAGGACTCTGGGGTTGCTGAGGAAGGAGAATCACCAGGATTGAACCCATCTTGGACAACTTAGTGACATAGTGAGACCATGTCTCAAAAAATAAAAAAAGGGCTGGGATGTAGCTCAGTAGAAAGGCCCTGGAGCATAAAGAGGTTAAAAAAAAAAAAGAAGTGTTTTACTTGTGTAATGTATAAAAATATATTTCTTTGAGATGACTTAATACACTACTAATAAAGACTGTTTCTTTGGAAAGGCCTAGGTAGCAATCAAGGGGATTGTCTTATATCTACAGTTTATCCTAGTACATGTTAAATGCATTACAGATATTCATTGACTGACTGCTTGTATGCTTGAAAACAATATCTAAGGCCATCTGGTGTTAAGTAGTGATGAGCTGTATAAAACATTAACGAGGCTGGACAGGAGGTTGATGGCTAAGGGAGGCTATGGGGGGCATTTATTTCTCACCTCGTATTTTGTTTCCCAGGATTTCCTCATACTTTGATGTGTTCCCTCAATAACACATCTTTGGTCCCCATGACCTTCAAACTGCGCATCCCTAGGGACGGCAATGACTTGAAAAGTACCCCAAGTTGTGAGCAGGCTTCAAACAAGAGACTGCCTGGGACCAGTGAAGAAATACACACAGTGAAACCAAAAGAATTCACCATCACCCCCACCTGTGGCACCATTCGCCCCCAGGGATTTGCTGCTATCAAGGTGAGGTACAGTACATAGCCTTCCAGCACTCACAACCCAGCAGCCAAACTCCAAGAGACCTCACTTGGGATTCTCTCTCTCTGCCCAGTGGCGGTGGAAGGGATGCTTGTCAGGTCACATGGGGAAGCGGGTCTATGGGAAATAACTCTGACAACAAAGGAAACCAGACACAGATACATTTTGTGGAAAAAAAAAAATGATGTAGGTCCCAGTGGATTTCCGTTAAACCAGATGCATTGCCTTTGCTAGAACAGTGGCTTCTATGCTGTGTCTGGTGAAACCACTGCTCTCTACAGATAGGCCACACATCAGTACCAACAGAAAACAGTAGAAGTAGAACACTGAGAATTAGATTCTTCTTTCCTTAATATTGGATCCTTTATAATCAATAAATATCCAGATTGATGCCAAAGATGACACCCAGCTTTTTCAGATTTGCAGCACCAGTCTGGGCATCACACTGTGTGTGGCTGCAGTGTTTCTATCAGTGTTCTGTTCTTACCCTCTGGGAAACGGCAGTGAGGAAGCTGCCCGTGCAGCCCCACCCCACTCCTGTGCTTGGGCTAAAATCGGGACAATCTAGTGCCTTGGTTATGACCTCCTGGTGTCACCAGCAAACTTCTTCACAGATAACTGAAAAGGGTTTTAGCTATCTTCCCATGCTTTTTTTGCTTCTCCATGCAATGAGGTCTAGCAATATGGAAGGCTAGTATGCTGAATGATTTTATGCTTTCGGGGAAGGAGAAACAACAAGGTTTCACAGGTAAAGTTGGTCATTTTCTCTCTAGTCACTACCATCGAATATTTAGCCTACCTACCATGTTATTCCCCACGTTTGCTTTAAATGTTTCTTACTGTCTCACTTTCTGAGCATTTTCATCTCCCCCAAGGAAGGGTTCTCCACAAGTCCAGTGAAGTTTGGAATATCATGTATCGTTACATCCCAGGATTGCGAACTGTGCCTTTCCCGATGGGAAGTGCTGCTTGCCATGGATTTTCCCTTTTTTACTTAATGATGCTCAGCCATCATGTTTCCTATCTTGCCTTTTGCTTCTCCCAGATAATGCAGGAAGATTTTAAAAGACGTACTACAGTATCTCTCTGGCAATCTTCTGCCAAAACAACTTCTCCTCTTTCCTTCTAACCACAGCTCAGCTACATAAATAAAGAGCTACAGCCTTGCCAGGTCCTCTGCTTTTTGCCAAATCCAACGAGGTGTCTTTCCAAGTCACTGACTTCACCTTCACTGTCTTTTTCCTTTATATTTATAAAAGCTTTTTTCAAGCTTCAGTTTCCTCCCTGGTCTGCACTTCAGCCAGGTCTGTGTGGACTCAAATTTGCATCCAGTGATTCCCTTTGCAACCAAAAAAAAGTTTTAATTAGTACTTGATACATAATTTATAGATGGAAAAGCCTTAACCCATGCCAGAAGCTCTTTTCTACTTACAAGTATTTCTTCCAGTACAAATCATTTTAAGGCAATTAAAAGTTGTATCAAGGCTTTCAAAGCCTAAATATAAAGCTTCAAAACAGCAAATAAAAACATTAGGTAAACTGTTTCGGTCAGATATTGTCCTTGATGGACCTTTCTTTGGGGCATTCTGTTTTCCACTCTCATAATTTTGTTTTAAAAAAAAGATTAATTTTTTATGCCTTTTTCTGGAACTAACAGGGTTATTTTCATTTATTTTGATATAAGAGAAATTTTATTGTAATGTTTTTAGTACGTTGAATTTTTATAATTTAAATAATCTAGTGGTATAAGGAACAGTTTCAAAGTTTTTATATATTGCTCATCCTTCGTGGTCATCCCCTGTCGCCTTGGGTAGGTGAGTCACTTCTTTGATAAAACCACCTCAGAAATGAGAAAACTGTACAAAAACCTCTTGGTTTCTAACCTGGCCTTTGGAACCACTCAGCAGGCCCTGACCCTACAATGTAACTTACTCAACTGAAACATGTACAATGTCAGACATACATAAAGCACCTGGCCACTCTCTCCCCTGTGGAGAGAGAGCGGTGGCCTTTTAGAACAGCAATTTCTCCCTTTTCCTTTCCAGGTGACTTTATGCTCCAACACTGTGCAGAAATACGAGCTGGCACTGGTTGTGGACGTGGAGGGCGTTGGGGAAGAGGTGTTGGCTCTCTTAATCACAGCCAGGTATCACTTACCTGCTTCCTCTCTTGCAGAGTTCCGATGAGCCCAGGACTGGGCTGTCGACCAGTAAACACTGGATTTATTCTGTCTTCCTGGAAAAGGAAACAGAATCTGTATTTCAAAAGCACAAAGCTTTCGAATAACAGAAGTTTGCAAAGCACTTTTGGAGAGACACAAAAGCACTGTGTGTTTTGCAGCCGAAACAGTGCTGCCTATGGGTCTGACTTTCAGAGTCTGAAACAAAAAGGTGTTAGCTGGAGGAACTGATGAGTTGCTGGGTTTTTTATTTTCATCTTTCAGTACAGAACTGCAGAGTCATGCAGCAGAAAGGCACTGCGCTTGGTCCTACTGTGGAAGATCCGTGTAGCTAACATGTCCCTGCTCCAGGACACTGTTACTCTGACTTGAATTGGAGGCTGTGAGTGACCTCCTAAATGAGGCTTATCTCCTGTGATATAAATGCCTCAGAACCATCACCAGCTTCTCTGTTTTAGAGGTACAGCAATGGGCTCTGCAGTCAGAACAAAATCCTGCCTCTGCCGTTGGTTGACCAGATGTCCCTGGCCAGTTACCACCTTCCCAGGGGAAGTGGCAATGAGGGAGATGGTGTCACCTACTAATGATGATATGATCCTAAATAAAATCATGGGGCCACTCTCTCCCCAAAGCAAATGATGCCCAGAACTGGGACTTTAAAGCATGTGAATGAAAATGCTAGATATAGAAAAGAGATAAAATACCACAGTAAAACTAACCGTGCTAATCCATCAGTGTTTAGCATTCAAGTCTCACATGAATCTTAAAGAGGGTGAAGATGGGATGGTCAATAGTGACAAAATAACACATCATTTCATGTGTTATGAGTGTAGCTGACAGCAAATAACAAACCTAAAGAACCCACTGTGTTGCCTTCATGTATTTAATATTCCTTCAAAACTTAAATTACTTTTGTGATTAAATTCAGCAAAACAGTAATCTTAGAATTTCTATATCCAACTTTGCCTTATAGACTGGTCTTCTGTGTCTTTTCTGTACATCTCTATTCTGATACTTTTGTGCACCTGTGCCCTGCAGCTATCAATAAGAAATACTGAATTTAAAACATGTGGGCTAAAGAAGCTATGAGTTTACTACTAATGTAAGCTCTGCGGCCCTGGTGAAATATTATAACCCTTCCAGCCACAATGTCTCAGGCAGCAAAGGATTAAAAGTCATTGGCCAACCTACAGCTTCCATTCTAGCTAAAAATGAACATTATCTCATGCTCAGTCACACGCGTTGGGCCCTTTCATGTCCGGACTTTCAGTGTAACCTGCAGGAGATGCTCACTCTCACCAGAAGTGTTGCTTTTGCAACTTGCAACCTAAAGGGACTCTGTCAGGAAGCCAGCAGTGACAGCCTCCCATGCCCTCACCACAGGTCACCTCCTCTCACTGAGCACTCACATGGCGCTAGACTGTGTACTCTACTCCCATTTTTCCCTGGATCCCCCTAAGAAGCATTGGCAATGCCAGTGTCCATGCCAAGGACCTTCATTTTACCTGTGAGAGAAGGGGGACTCCACGAGAGAAAGTGGCTGGCTCAGGGTACCACAAGTGACACTTAATAAGGTCAGGATTGTACCTGGGTCTGTCTAATTCAAAAGCCAGTAATCTCCATCCTTGTCCTATATGTTGCAACAGCGACATAGGGTAGGTGAGACTCTGGGAGCTACAGACACAAAATAAAACCCAGGTCACCTAATAACAGACCAACTGCAAATACAGGGCTTCAACTCCTCTCCCAGTACACACGACTGTCCCTCCCTCTCCCCAGCCCTCCACATTGGAAATGCTGTCGTGGTGCCAGTTCTGGGATGAACAGCTGCCAGAACCTACTCATCCAAGACAGCTGGTCTGCATAGGAACTAGAATTATTACCATTATTTAGATGATGGGAGCTGCTGCTAGTCCCGGGGGACTTTCTGACTTGTCCAAAGTGTCACAGCTAGTTAGGACCCCATGCTGGTGGCATCGGCCCTGTTTGACATGGAAACAGACCCACTACCCTAAGGAACTTGCACCATGGGGCCCTATGTCAAAAGAAGGCTGAGCTGAGAAACAGTGCAGATGTTAGTCATTACCCACAAAAGATAGCTGTTTGTGGAGTTCTTCTTCTAGGCTTTTTTTTAATTAAAAAATGGTTGACGGGGGGCTAAGAGAGAGAGATGACAGAAGATCTGAAAGTGATTAATGTAGGTATTAGAGAAAAACTGCAATGTGACAGTGACAAATACATTTCAGACTGCATTCTCTATATGTAAACAAACTCTCTATTTTGAATTATTTAATGGGCTCCTTTGAACAGGTGTGTTGTACCGACCATCCAACTAGTGAAGACAGAGGTGGACTTCGGGCTCTGCTTCCTGAAATACCCATATGAGAAAACTATCCAGCTTGTCAACCACGATGCTCTCCCAGGATGCTATGAGGTGCTACCTCCGGTGAGTTACTTTACCCAGTGCTGGTTTTTCTTCCGTTGGAGGCCCTCCTGAGGAGATGACATCCTTCTGAAGAGCCATATTCCTAAACACATGACCTTATGCCATTCTGATTTTTAAATCTCACATAAGCTAGGGATAAGGTTATAAAGCCACAGCTGGGTTACCATCTGCATGAGTAAGCAGCTGCAGGTATAAACAGTTGTTCATTTCCCAGAGAAATTGCCCTTGATAAAGAAGGAAAAGTGTCAATTAAGCCAACATACAGACGTGCACCTGCAGATAATTGCCTGGGAATTAACCAAGCCCAGGAAATAAGCTATGAGTTTTAATTTTGCCCATGGCTGTGATTTGATCAGCATCACCAATATGTAGCAATGCAATGTTTATAAATGAACTTTTTGTCTAGAAGGCTAGAGATAATACAAGAAGAGAATAGAGGGATTGTGTGTTAGTGTTCTAATGTAATGTGTGTCTCCACGTGCTGCTACACCTGGCTAGGTAGGAAACTAAGCAGTCCATGTACACATAAAAGATTCAAAGTTCTCTACAGTCTAAACTAATGGAAGGTGGCTAATGAAAGCTACTAAGCATGTATCTGAGTCTAAATTTCGGTTGTATGAGTACAATAATATAAACCCATGTGAAAAGTAAATGAGGGGGTTACTTGGCTTCACATTCAACATGAGTTAAAAGAACAGTACAGAGGTCACAAGTCCTATGCAGGTTTCGACTGCGTCAGAAAATCACAGCTCAAGGAAGAGATAAGCAGACATAGGTCAAAACATAGCCAAAATTTTGTCTTTGGATCCTGTCATTGTACTTTTTAATGGGAATTTGAAAACTGCACTGCCTTGGGAGTGACAAAAATGGGATTCAGGTCATCTACAGGTTCAAGTCATGAGAGGGGCTGAGTCAGGTGTTTGACCTGGAGCAGAGAGGGGATTTAGAGAGGGAGAGCTACTCTTAATACTCAAAGAACTCTTCTGTAAGAAAAGGAAATTAGGGTCAAGTGAAGCAATTTCTGTATCTTAGAGATGAAAATAGGGTAAGACACTTGTTTTGAGAAGAAAATTTAAGAGGGAACTGAACACTCAGTTATCAAGATGATCAAGATGTAATATTTTCATGTTGTATTCTTTTTGTCTGAATTGAGGTGCTCATCCCCAGTGCCTTGCCTGGTCAATGACACATTCTAAAGATCCGCCATGGATTGGATCTTTGAATTTTGAAGGTCTGAGTTTTTTTAATTCTTTATATGTTTTAGACAAGAGTCCCTTGTCTGAGAGAGAGTTCACTAAAATCTTTTCCCAGTTTGTGGGTTTTCTTTTCACTATGCTGGAGATTTCTTTTGACATGCAAAAACTTTTTAATAAGAAGTGGTCCCAGTTATTGATTCTGGGAAGTATTTCCCGTGCAGTTTGAGTCCTATTCATGAATTCTCTACCTACTCCTATGTCTCCAAGGTTTCTACCCAATTTGTCTTCCAATAGATTTAGCGTTTCTGTTTTAATATTCAGATCTTTGACCCATTTAGATTTTAATTTAGTAAATGGGCATCTGAGATGAATACGCAATTCTCAGATGAAGAAATGCAAATGGCAAATAAATACATGAAAAAATGCTCATCATCATTGGTCATTAGAGAAATGCAAATTAAAACCACACTGAGATACCATCTCACTCCTGAAAGAATGGCCAGGATCAAGAAAACCAACAACAACAAATGCTGGAGAGGCGGTGGGGAAAAAGGAACTCTCCTGCACTGTTGGTGGGAGTGTAGACTGGTACAGCCTTTGTGGAGATCTGTCTGGAGGTTTCTCAAAAAGTTGGGATTGGAAATCCCATTTATTCCAGCTATTCCACTTCTAGGCATATTCCCAGAAGAACTGAAAGCATCATACCACAGGGATATATGTGCACCTATGTTTATAGCAGCACAATTTGTAATCGCCAGATCTTGGAAACAACCCAAGTGTCCATCAACTGAGGAATGGATAAAAAAGTTGTGGTATTTCTATACAATGGAGTATTATTCAGCTATAAAGAAGGATCGCATTGAGATATTTATCAATAAATGGGCGCAGCTTGAGACCATACTCATAAGTGAAATAAATCAATCTCGCATGTATGAATACCGAATAGTTTCCCTAATGTAAGTAATGATTCAAATATATAAAAATATGTGATAATCATGATTCCCCATTATGTGGCCTTGAAGCCTTATAAAATTTTCACTTATTAATTAGAAAGGCTTTACTCTGGGCTTTTTGATATGGAAATATTTGAAGCTATAGTATATGAAGTTTTATCCAAATATTTTAAGGAAAAAGACAGACACTATGGTAACTACTATTCTTTTAAAAAAATTATTTAGCTATTTCTTATGTTTATTTTAATTAAGGGAAAAACTTAAAAAATTAGGATATATAGTAGTAACTCTTTTTGATCTCCTATTAACTTGTTTTGAAGTCCTGTAATACTCCCAAGATCTTGTTTTGACTGATTAGACTCTGTTCCATTCTGTGCGATAGTAGCAAGTTTGAAGGTATAGGCAACTAATTTGAAGGCAATAAGATTCACAAAGATGCCCATTCTGGTTTGACTATTGTCTCCTTTGGAAGTCCTGTAATGTTCACAATGCCTAAGTTTTATTGGTCTTGTTCTCCACTGTTTTGTCCGGCTTTATAATATCTAATGAGATGGACAATTCCTTTTAAGGAAACAAGAGACAATGTTGATAACCATTGTTGATGACCTTGTACTCTGTTCTACATCATGTGCTATGTCTATCCTTGGTTTGGACTTACAGCTTTGTTTTGCCATATTTGACTTTATTCTCTCCCCCCCAAGAGAGTAATGAGAACTGAGGAGTAATAAAATCCAAAATGTATAAATTTTCTTATAAAAAAGAGAGGGAGGGGAAAAAAAAAAGAGCTCTAACGGATATAACAACAAGTGTGTTTAGGGATGTTAAATAGCTGACTATATTAATGTTTTTGGATCATTGAACACAGCTGTTTGCAGTCTCTCCGTTTGAATGTCTACTTTGTATTCTTTGATACTGTGATTGGAGCAACTATTTCCAAGATGATATTATGTAATCTATTAACAGGTGATTTCTTACTGTTATGTTTTTTTTTGTAGTTATGTATTATGTGTAACCTTACACTGCTTTGTTTTGTTTTGTGTTTTTCTCTTTTTCCTCTTAAATAAAAAAAAAAAAAAAAAAAGATCCGCCATGGACTCAGAATAACACCTTTTTCAAAATGATAGGCTTATTGGAAAGCTCGCTTCCTTCAGGCAAGCAGCACAAGCAAGGAGATGCAGCCAGATAAGCCCTGTGCACCTGTAGGCCACCATTAGAGACCCGTGCTTCTGTAGGGCAGCCAGAGCCCAGTGGAAGAATCAAACAAAGACACCCTTGCATGCCTGCCACTATTGGGGAAGTCCCAGTGTAGACACACAGGCTGAGAGAAGAAGCAGCTACACCACCACACACCCCTGGCCATTGGGGAAGCCCAAATATAGCTGCACAGGTCTGGAAAAGCCTGCCCCATGCCCTGCTACCTCCCTGGGAACCTGGGGTCAGAGACACCCAGATGTCAATCCCATTCCCCTACACCACTGAGGGGCAGCCAACAGGGGAAGTGCCTGGGACACCACAACTGGCTTTTTGGAAGGAACCCAGGAGAATGTCAAAATGAAGGAGCAAAAGGCAATCTCAGACCTCCAGCCCACACAGAAGAAGTCCGAGAAATACAGTCACGGAAGAAAATGGAAATCACACCCTGAAATCTCTGAGAGGACAGCAACTGAAGTAAAGAAACAGCTTCATGAGACTGTAAAAGTCATCAGATCAGAAATAATGTCTCAGGTAAAAGAAGAAATCACAACCACAATTGCTGAGCATATCTAAAGAAGACATAAATAAAAAAAGAGGAGAATAGGAAAATCATGGAAACCTTGAATGTACAATATAGAAAGGAATTACAACGCATGAAACAGATTCAAAGATATCCAGGAAATTAAAAACTCCATCAAAAGCTGGCAAAACCATTGGAAAGAATAAAGACAGACTTTCAGACCTTGAAGACAGTGGCATCTAGCAATTATGAAAGGAAAATCTCTTTAAAATAACAAGGAATTAGGAATAATTCAATGGCTGCAAGATGACAAAAAGAAAAATTATTTTAGAATGATAGGTGTCAGCAAAGAAGCAGAGGTTAACACAAATAAAATAAGACTATTTACAGAAGTAATAGCAAAAAAATTTCCCAAAGATGGGGAAAGGACCTGGCATACAGTTAAATGAGGCATATAGAACTCCAATTAGCCATAATCAAAATAAATCTACACCCAGACTACAATAATCAAGATCCCAGAAATTCAGCACAAGAATAGAATATTAAACGCTGTAAGAGAAAAGAAGCAGATCACCTATAATGGAAAACCCATCAGAATCACGGCAGACTTGTCAACACAAACCATCAAGTCAAGAAGAGTTTGGAGTGAAGTGTTTCAAATCCTGAAAGAAAGCAACTTTCAACACAGGTTAATGTATCCTGCAAAATCCTTTCAAAAATTGATCGAAAAAATGAGATACTTCCATGATAAAGAACAACTGAAGGAATTCATAACCACCAAACCAACCCTATAAAAAAAAACTGAAGGATATTCTCAAGAGAGATCAAGATGACCATGGTTTCAGGAACAGCATCAGAGGAGGACCACCAAATAAGACAGGCAGCTGAATGAAGGGGAAAAATGGAGGGCCAACAACAGGAGGATAGCAGGGCAAAGATGAACCAATGCATGCCGCTTGTAACCATCAGTGTAGGTGGTCTCAAATCACCAATAAAAATAAACATAAGGAAGTGGATCAAGAAACAAGATCCATTAATATACTGTATACAAGAAATGCATTTAACTCGAAAGGAAATTCATAGACTGAAAATCGAAAGGAGAGAAAACAACTGTTCCACATGACAGGAGACCAGAAAAAAGCGAGGGTAACTTGCCCATCAGCCACAGAATAGATAAGAAAGATACAATATTATCACACAATGCAAAGCTCCTCAGCTTTAAAGTAGGATAATCTTGAGGCTCTTGTAGGTAAATGGATGCAACTGGAGATCATGTTTATGGGAGAAACAGTTTGAACTCATATGCGTGAACACTGAGTTATCTGCCTGGCATAAAAACTGAAGGAGTTAGTGAGATCCAAAAAACACAATAGATATTAATGAAAATGATATGAGAGGAAACACGTAGGAGGGGAAGGTGGGAATCACTGTTCATTTCTTATTGTCTTGTCTTCAACTCTTGTACTGTTTTCATAATTTTGTTAGGTTTGATTTTGTTCTGTCATGTTTTGTTAGATTTTCTGTGTCTGATGGAATGGGCAGCTATTTTTGAAGATAACAGGATGTATTATGGTAACCATTGTTGGTTTCCTATCATCTTATTCTGAAGTCCTATGATGCTTCTGTTCTTCCATTTTGATTGGTTTTATTCTGTTGTGTTGTATTTGATTTCATTATGTGTGATAGTATGGTTAACTATTTCAAAGAAAACAAGAGACATTATAGTAGCCATCGTTGATTTCCTGTTGTCTTGCCTTGAAGTCCTGTGTTGCTTGCAGTGTTCTGTTCTGATTTGCTTTGTTTTGTTTTGTTTTGTTTTGTTTTGTTTTATTTAAAAAAGGTATAAAAACAATCCCACACACCGCTCACTTACCTCTCTGGCTTCTCTCTCTCTCTCTCCCTCCCCAGGTGTGTGAGGACCCACTGGCTGTGCTGCTTTCTATCCCCTCGCCCTCCGGGGTCATCCCCCCCAACAGCACTGTGCACATACCACTGGCCCTGGAGAGCCAGGTCACCGGAGAGCACAGGGCCACAATTTACATCTCTGTCTTCGGAAGCCAGGACCCTCCTTTGGTGAGAGCCAGTTTTCAGAGCCACAGTTGAATTTGCTGTGCTCCTTATCAAGTCTTTTGAGCTTCTTCCTTTAAGACACATACCAAATCTGCATACCTTCCAGTTGTCTGTAGTTACAGAGTTTTACATTTTTACTCTGCAACCGTAAAATAAAATGTGGTATTACTTAGGGACTGTATTTGTGGAAACATCAGAAAGTATCCACATTTTATAGCAGTTGATCTTAAGCCTCACTTGTATATTCGAAGCACATGCACATGCGCACGCGCACACACACACACATTCACACCTGTAGGACCTCTCTCTGGGACCCGCACATCTGTGTCTTATCCAGCTTCTCAGTTGATTCCAGTGCAAAGCTGGGTTTGGATAGCACTAAATTTATCACATGCAGCCGATGAGATCAGTTTCATTTACTCCTCCCTCATCATTGGCCTTAGTAATCATAGCCCAGATAAACCTATCCAAGCTGTTCAGAGAAATAGTTTCTCTGCAGGTTAGTAAGAGAAATACATGAAAATCTCTCTGCTGCTCAAGCTGAATTGAAGGATAAATCTGAATCTTTAAGGAAGTTGTCCAACAGGCTGTATGTCTCTAGATGTTTGGTTTACTGGAGAAATGGGTGCTATCAACTCACATTTGTTTGAAATGATTCTGATTTCCTTAGAGAATATAATAAACTATGGCTTCATTTTTATCTCTTCCATATAAGATGCCATAGATCCTGACTTACAAAGCAGCATCATAAAGCAAAACCCCCAAACATGCCACCAGTCCAGAGCCTCTGTTGGGCTTACTTGACACCCTCTCCCCTGCATGGAAGCTACTCATGAGAGGGTAACCAGGGCTTTATGGAAAAGGGCCACCTTCACAGACAGTAAAGCACAAAGTGGATTTCAGTTGCCAACCTGCACAGCTTTATGCAGCAGCCCTGCATTGTCACACCACTGCTAAAGTGGCAAAACTGAGACTCAAATCTAGCTACGTCTAACTCAGAAGCACCGTCCCATAAGTGCTCTTGAGGCTAAGCATTACATGGGACACAGGGACCCACTTTGATTTTTCTTCAGTGCACATCTCTGGGCCAACCCAAGGAAGCTGACCACTCTAGGGGAGGAATTCGGGGTTTCAGTCACAAGTCTGACCCCGCGTGGCCACCACTGTGTCTCTCCAACCATGAAGCACAGTAGGAGGGGATGTCAGTTCCCAGGCGCACCCTTTGATGCCCCAGATTTCTATTAAAGGGATGGCTAGCACTTCTGTTTTTATTGATTTTAAAGACCAGCTCTTTTCAGTGGGTCCTCTGCTTTCTCTTGCACAAAACACAGGTCTGTCACTTAAAGATCACTGGACAAGGCCCAGTTATCTTCGTGCATCCCACTCAGATTGACTTTGGCAGCATCTATGTCCTACAGGATTCTTCCAGGATTCTCAACCTGTCTAACCAGTGCTGCATTCCTGCATTTTTTCGGGCACGCATGGTGAGTAAGTTATAGACCATCCTCTCATGATGAAAGCAAGATTTGCAGAATGAAACTGTTAAACCACATCAACCCCATTCTCAGCTCCTCTTTATTATAATCTTTTGTTGGGTAAAGAAATAAAATATGCATGTATTTTGATTTAAAAAACCATATTTCATATAATCACATGATAGGAAGATGTATCAAAGAAGACCAGACTCTGGAAAAACTCTTTTTACATCTATCTCTAACTGGAAGCACCTCCTCTAAATTGACTCTTTTGGGCTACAAATTTTGCTTTTGCAAATTTTGCTAAGTATCTTCAGTCTATTTCTTGTTATTGTAGTTTTGATACAAGGTCTCACTATGTAGTTCAAACTATCCTTGAACTCACTTTGTAGTCCAAGCTGGCCTGGAACTCATCATGATCCTCCTGCTTCGGCCTCCCAAGTTCTGAGATTACAGGTGTGAACCACCACACTTGGCCCAGTATCTTTAGTCTTAGAAGTAGTTCTTTAAATTTAAATTTTAGATTCCCCTAGTCCTATTCCCAAATTATCACATTTGAATTCATGGGAGCTAAGATTTAGTTTTAGCATTTTTCAAATATTTCTGAAGATACTGTCAGAAAGGATAGGATTATGGTTCTTGCTGACTTGTGATAACTCAGGAGTCGCTGGTCCCAATTAGCAACCATTTGTTGTTGTCATCAGTTATCTGACTATCTCTTTTCCTTATCATTTATACAAGAAGCCATTCTTGAGACAGTCGCTGCTCTTTTCAACAGAAATTTCTGACACAGCCCCTGTCTGGCTCCATCCAGCATCTTCGGCTCTTGAGTAAAGAGTATTGTTTAATAGTGCTTAGAGAAAAGGCTCGTAGAGAAGACACTTCCACTACATTTCACCCAGTTAGCCCGCGGAGGCATTCAGTAGAAATCATGAGGCACTGCTTAGGAGCTGGTACTTCTTGGACTGGTGCAGAGTTAACGGCAGAAGAGGAAAAGCATTAGTACCTTCCAGACCCATTGGGGTGCGCACCAGAGAGACTATGCATGGGTACCCCCAGGCATCATACAGACATATACGGCACCCTTGCTGTCATTGTCAAGTATCTCAGGATTCCACTTATTAGTAACATTTGGTGCATTGCAAAAACCAAAAAGCATCTCTCTCCCCCCACCCCGTGTGTCTCTCTCCCCCCCACCACCCTGGTATATATATATTGAATGACCCGGTTGGCTTATTAAAATGAGACCTTTTGTTTTCCACAACAATTTCACAATTCCATCTTTTATTTCCTTAATGTTTCCTCGAATCAGCAAGCTCCAGTTCCAAACAGCCAAATGTGATATAAATGATCTACTGTAGGATGTGTTTTTCCCTCCATCTGCTCTTGGAAAACCAGCACTTATTGAATTATAGCATGAAAGTAGTTTCAACTATAGTTCATGGAGGTGAAAATTAAACTCCTTTCAAATTTCAGCTGGGATTTTGGTTGTATGTCCTAGAAAATATGTATAAAACATTGTAGAAATTGCTAACTCAGAAGCAAACTGGAGTGGAAAGAAACTGAAATATCATTTATCAAATTTCAACTCAATGTGCAGTATCGCATCTTCCAATTCGTTCTTACAGAAGTTATCAAGCATTAGGAAAGAGGTTCAAGTGACAGCTGCCTGCTCCCTACTAAGCCTACTGTGACTGCAGGTGCTGTGCCTTTTTCCTTTTCTTTTTTTTTATTTTAAAGAGAATAAAACCAAGCAAAATAAAACTTAATAAAGCCACCTTCACAGTGACATTGGGGAACTCTAAAAGCAAAGACATTTTGAATTTCTCAGAAATAAATGTTATATCCTCCTTAAAAATGTATTTAAACTGAAATCTATTCTTATAGTGTAAGTTAAGAAACAACGAGCAAAGCATGGTGCATTCCTGTAATCCCAGCACTCGGGAGGCTGAGGCAGGAGGATCGTTGCGAGTTCAAGACCAGCCTGGGCTACAAAGTGAGTTCAAGGCCAGCCTGAACTGCATAGCAAGACCCTGTCTCAAAAAGACAAAAAAGAAAAAAGAAAAAAAGAATAATAAAGAGAAAAGAAATAAGATTATGTAACATACCTAGATATATTGAGAGATATTTATATATATATATATTTCATTAAAGCCTACCTTATTCAGAGTACAAAAGAAACTTCCTGGGACGGAAGTTTCTCCCTTGCTTTGGAGTACCTGGAATAGCAGCCTGCCCTAAGGTTCCCAGCAAGCTGACTTATTTGGAACAACAGGGTAACTCCTCTCTGGGTTGGAGAGATAAAAACTATCTGAACACAGTAGCACAGCATGCGAAGGCTCTGTGGATAAAGTGTGGGCGCTGCTTATAGGAGGCTCCACCCAGAAGAGAGGTTTGATTTCCCTGGGTCCGGTGAGCAGCAGAAATGAGGGTGAGAACACAGCAGGGTCACGGAGCCCTGAGGACCTCAGTGCCAAGCTGAAGGGCAGATGCCTTCTCTTCACGGGACTTTCTGGCTGGGTAGAACAAATGAACTTGTCTGGGGGCATCTGGAATCTTTTTCCTTTTACCCTTGCCTCTAGATTAGCCGTGGCTATAGTTAGCATGAAGCCTCGTGTTCAGATGTCAGTGACACTTTGAGAATTGACTGGCACTGAGATATCTTTGCAGTGGCAGAGAAAGGCCATTGTGTTTATTTAGAATAGTTAGAATTCCTGGACTGTGGACACAGGAACTCTGATGTGCCATTCAAACACAGTTCTTCTAAAGCATGTATTTTTCCTGTTCATTTACGATAGTCATGCACAGGGACATGATGGCAAGAAGAGCGCTGGGCTCTCACAGTGCCTCCCCCACAGCCCCTGGGTAGTTCCCACACTCCAGTAGGAACCCCTTTGTGTATCTATTTGTTTATATATCTGTCCTTTACATGACAGTAGTTTCTGCCCTGAATACCCAGCATCAAGCTTGACAATTATAATGATGACATTATGACATTAAATTATGCTGACGTTTATTCAGTTCTATTAGCCACTTGTACTGCGTTAGTGAAATTCCATGAGAAAAATACTGTTACAGTGCCTGGGGGTAGAATTAGGTTAAGCAATTTGCCATAACCAGTAATGCAGACCTGATTCTGGTTCCAGGGCTCTGCCCCCAAGCCATGATCCTTCCCTCACACTCTACTGCCTGGCTTCCCCTGGTCAGTAGCTACGGAGATGGATTTGGAAATAGCAAAAGGGTTTTTTATCTTCATAAAAGACCCTTAAAGAAAGACATACCTAGAAGAGCAGAGTCGGCCAAAAGAGCAGGAGAATAAGCTAAGGAGCCCCTGAAACAGGGCAAAGGCCTAGGATGCGGTACATTTTATTCAGAGATGTGCTAAGATGTTCGTCTGCAAGTCATCTCCACGATGTCCTTTTTATTTTTCTTTTCTTTCTTTCTTTTTTTTTTTTTTTTTTTTTGGCTTTTTCCTTTTTATCGGTACCAGGGATCGAACTCATGACTGCCTGCTTGCAAGGGAGGCACTTATGCCACTGAGCTAAATCCCCAGCCCCTATGATGTCCTTTTTCAACCAACCATGATTCCGTTGATTATGTATCTGAAATAAAGACATATAGGCTACCACTTTCTTCCTTACAGTGCATAATGTATAACAAGCATTAATGTCTGTTAAAATTCTTCACACTGGTAGCTCTTTAACAGGATATAAAATTTCCAAGTGATCCTCTTATTTGAACAATAATAAATAGATAAAACCAAAGTCAGACTGGCTAGCAGGCATTTCAGACCCAGTGAGATTTTTGGTGCTAGACTCCACCTGTTTTAGGAAAGAATGAAAATCGTGGCCATTCTCTCTCTCTCTCTCTCTCTCTCTCTCTCTCTCTCTCTCTCTCTCTCTCTCTCTCTCTGTTCTCTTTTGAGACAGGGTCTCACTGTGCAGTTCAGGCTGGCCCTGGGTTCACTTTGTAGCCCAGGCTGGTCTCGAACTCACAGCGATCCTCCTGCCTGAGCCTCCCGAGTGCTGGGATTACAGGTGTGCGCCACCACACCCGGCTATTGTCAGTGTCTTTTTAAATTGTTCTGCAGGAAACTGTGACTCTGCCCTACACTCCATCATCTTTGCACACCTGACCTTACACTACAGGCCTAGAATTTGGACTTCCAGGGAACTTCCTGTCGGAGGGGATTCATGCTAGAGAGAGCTCTGAGGGACAAGAAATAATTCCCCAAGGCCTTTTCCCAGATGATCCCATTAAGACACTGCACCCCAATATCTGTGTATAAAGGGAATTCAGAACGGTTGTTTCTCAGCCTTTGATGGGTAGATCAGCTCTGCCCTCAAACTTAACTGTTATGTCTGTGGAAGGAAACAGTTCAAGGAAATTATAAGGAAAAGATATTAAAGGAAAATGGAAAGAAATAGACATGAATCAGAGACTGATCTCAGTTGTTATACCTCTTTATTTTTTTGTTGTTGTTCCTGATGGATTTTGAAAATAGTAGCTTTCTTTATTTTCCAGTTGACAACTGGGTTACTATAAGCAGTACTGTGGTGAACACACTGTTTGTCTCTCTGTGTGTAATGCCAAGAGTCTGGAGTGTAGAGAGTGGGCGATACCTTGATGGTACTTTTGGGTCTTCAGACAAGAGAAAGTTATGTTTTCAACTTCATTAGCTATTTGCCACACTACTCCAAAAGTGATTATATCAAGGTCCCCTTCCAGGAATGTTCATTCTATTTCTCCAGTGGCTAAAACCTAGGATGGCAGACCTTTAAGTTCTTGGCAGTCCGTGTAACATGAAATTATGTCTTGCTATAGCTTTAATTTGTATTTCCCTTACTATTGAGGTTCATAACTTTTTATTGGGATATTTCCTCCAATTTTCTGTTTTCTATGATTATCAATTTGGAGACAGATATTCTTTATGTGCCATGGATACTAATCATTTTTTATAATGAGGCTTTGGCTTTTTTAAAGATGTTTTTAATTTGATTGTCAACTTC